AGTAGATAAGAAAATTTTTAAAAATTGCATTTTTATGGTTTTGGCCCCACCTATCAGACCCCAGAGGTGCAGGAACCATGAAATTTTTGTCCCCACTTGCCCAAAGATGCTCTATACCAAAAATTGTTGAAACTGGTTCAGCGGTTCTAGAGAAAAAACTGAAAGTATTCAAAAGTTTATGAGCGACGCAAGACGCAGTCCGACGGACGAAAACAGATTGTAATGGGCCCCTGAGTCACACCGGTGACCTAATAAAAACATAAACGTGTTCTAAAAACAAACACCCTCACAAATACAATTACAAAGATGCTTGTAAAGCTTCTGAAGATTGGAAATGAAAGCGCTTAAGCTTTACTAAAGGTTTTCGTGTTTCTTTTATAAAAAATTTACCCCTCTCTCTCTCTCTCTCTCTCTCTCTCTCTATATATATATATATATATATATATATATATATATGTATATATGCTCGATATAAAAGAAAGAGAAAATCTTGAATTAAGTATGCATTATAATAACTCCATGGAAGCCCATGTTGGGCCTATTAATTTTTTCTGTTCGATTTAGCGAATTATTGAATAAATTGTGCAACAAATTTCAGAATTCAATTCCTTCTAACAAATTTTTAAATTCGTTATAGCAAATATCTTAATTGTTATAACGAATTAATCTTTTACAACAATTTAATTGAATTCATTTTAACAGATTCTTAACTTTGTTATATCGAATTGAATTTAAATTAACAAATTTCAGAATTCATTATCTAGAATTGACGGATTCGATTTACTGATTTATAAATGGAATTTGAAGACAACAATAAGTAATCAAGCTCAAAAGTCCACTGGAACAATAAAAATTGAAAGCAGAGCAAACATGGACTTCTAAAATCATCGGTGGGATCAGGTGCCATGAAGAAGGAAGCATTCCCTGTCGAGCTGTCACACCCAGCGTGTACCACTGGGTACTCATTGTCATGATCAGACAAACGGAAAATTCATACACAATTCAGTGTGAAAATAATGGCTTAACAATTTGTATGAAAAAGTTAGTCAACATATGACTTAAGATAATATTTGCTAACATGGTCATTGTATCGACCAGAGAATTTGCGAAATGTTGACTTTAAATGAGACTTTTGATTTCCTTTTATCATCAACTTATTTGTCAATAGCTTGTCTAGTTTTAGAAATTAGCCCGTGCATAGAAAATGCTCTTGTGTATCGAATAAACTGGGAGAAATTAGCTCCATATGTAGGTGATAATGGTATATTGTTAAATAAATTAAAAAAAGGTGAAGCTGGTAGGCAGTGCATATAACTTTTAAAAGGAAAAAATCATGCCGGAGGCACGGAAAGGGGCAAGGGTAGTTGCAAGTTTTGTTTTTTGCTTCAGAGATATTTTATGGACTGAGGGTATCGAATAAGGTTGGCAACCAGCCCTAAATTCCAAAATTCCCCCTCCCCCCAAAAAGTATTTTGCTGTAATTTAGTATGAAGTTTTCATTGAAAGGCCGGTAAAGCCCCCATCCTCACCCTCTCACACGCACACAGACACATTTTGCTGCCAATGTGTTATCGTACCCTAATTTTTTTTTCAAAGAGAGAAGGTACCCGCTTTTACACTGTAGTGATGATCGATGTAATTATGATTGGGATTGAGATAATGTATATAAATGTATATAAAGGACATATTTATTAATAGTTTTCAGTAGTTACCTCTCAGACCTTGCAGTGTTCTACTCAATTGATTAACTCATCAATAATTAACTCACTATCGTTTTACTATACTTTATTTATTGTGTTTATTAATGTTCATATGAATCCAACATTGATGTCATAACTGGTTGTAAATTTCAATCGAATACTTTGCACAAAAGATCTTGAATTTTGGCGCCATTTTAAACAAAAAAATCTTTGTTCTTCCAAATAAGATCAGAGTACATTAAAATAATAGTGTTAGTATTTTATAAGATGCTTTGTCATTATTTATCAGTATTTTCATTTTTTACTTATTTTTCTTAGCCTACAACATGTTTTTCTGAATTTCATACAATTACATGACTATTTCGTCGCATTGTTTGATTATTTAATTTAAAAAAAAACACATCGTTTAAAGTGACACTGTGACGGAAAAAGGGGAAAACTGACAAAAGTAGAATTTATGGATGACAAAAAATAAAAAATCTACTTTTTTGGAGAAAAATAAAAGTAAAAATAATTTTAGTTTGCCCTAACACAAAAAGATTGCTTTACTTCTTCCTCTTTATTGTACGTATGCACAGAAAAGTTGAAGAATTTACCATGGTGTCAATTCCTTAGATATAAATGTCGGATGACCGAGGATTTTGATATAATCTTCAATAAAGATGATCAGAACTTATTCCTCACTTTTGTTTGCTCCAATTCAATGTTGTTTATAAGTTTCACGCTAAAAGTCGCGTGACCTTGACATTGTTGACATTGACGAAAACAACAAAGCGGTAGAAACAACCTTTGTTTTTCCGGCACTTACATTTTGCAGTTCTTTTCTTGCTGTACAGTGCAGTTCAGTTGTCAAAACTTCGCTTTAGTCATATTTCACATAAATCTTTTGTTTTGTGATACAATTATCTTAAAAGAAACACGATTTTGAATCATTATGTAATTTTAAGATCATTGATAATTACTTAGTAGGCTAATAAAAGGCGCAAAAATAGATCAAGATCTCGACTACCCCTATATAAATACAGCCTCTGTTAAAGATCTTGTGAGGATATATACTATAGGAAAAGCAAAGACAAAGACATACTAGATGCGAGAATTATTATTATCAAGATTATCAAGATGCTTGAGTTTCTGATTGTCAATATCTAAGTAGTTTTTGGAGATAAAAAATCTTTCAACAATCTGTCAGAATTGCCATGGGTACCAATTGCACCCTTTTATCAGTAGACATATTTTTATATTCACATGAAGAAGAATTTATTAAAAAAACTTCTACATGAAAAACTTGTTCTGGCTTTTAATTCGACAATTAGAAGTATCCACGATGTATTATCAATTAACAATAGTTTCTTTCATTCATACGTCGTCCCGATTTTTATTATTTCAATGAACTTTTGAGCTTGATTACTGCTTGTTATCTCCATATTTCATGGTAAAACAGAATGGAGACCAAACTTTACACAGTTCAAACACAGTGCTAAAAAATACAAATGGATGACACAGACAAATTAGGTAAGCTGATTGAGTGTTTGAGAGACAAAACATTAAGATTTTATTGCTCAAGACTTTAAAAATTCTAGCGAGATTATATAAATTGCTCTGACAAAAATTTAAAAAATACGAGAACTAGCCGCACATTATCTGAAGAAAACTGCAGGAAATGAAACAATATCCGAAAGAAGCAATTGAAGAATTTAACTCGCTGCTGAAGGATAACTGGGCAGAGACCCCTGAGTTCTTCAAAAACACCATCACGATTGATGATATTCTTAGAGGATGCACAGAGAAACGGACTGCTCTGGACAACCTAGATAAAGATCCACAAACTTTGAACAAGAGAATGCATTACATAAAGAGCTCTATTACCAAAAAAATTAATTATGGCCCCAAAGAAATAAATAAATAGAGTTACATTCAAGAAGATAAAGTCTGATGTAGGCAGTCCATCCAAAGACATCCTAACCCAAATGGCAAGGAGTCCATCACCACCACAGACAATTTAATTAGAATCAAGAATTATTACAGCTTTAGAAAATGAGATTAGGGAAACAACACGACTACTCAAAGATGTTTTGAGAGTTTTACCAATATTTTAGAAGGAAAGATTATCCAGACAAAGGTACCGGTCACCACGAAGAGCATCTACATCAACACCTAGGTATACATTGCCATAAAGATCATTTTATACATCTGGATCTAGATATGCTTTACCACAAAGATCCCCATCAAATAGTCTGGTAAGATCAGAGAGATTGAGAGCGAATGCTATCTTTGTGGTAGAGTAGGACATTTTGCAAGAAATTGCTGGAGTTCAAAATAAAAAAAAAACAAGGCAATTTGAACTTTCAAGAGCTGAGGAAGTAGGTCATTCGTCAGCTAGATCAAACACACCAAGACCTCAATCACAGAGTAGATTCAAAATATATTATATAAAAGAGATATACACAAACAATTGACGATTTATATACATAATTATAAATGTGAAAAGGAAGAAAAAAAATTGCTGTTGCCTTCAACTCTAGATATATCGACGACGTATTGTCAATTAACAATGGTTATTTCCATTCATATGTCGATACGATATATCCCGGTGAGATTGAGATAAAAGATTCCACAGAGTCTGACACATCTGTTTCATATTTGGATATTTTACTTGAAAAAGACGTTAATGGTAATCTAACAACAAAGCTTTATGATAAACGTGATGACTTTAACTTTTAAATCGTCAACTTCCCTTACTTATGCAGCAACATACCTTCATCACCTGCATACGGGGTTTATATCTCTCAGTTGATTCGATACGCAAGAGCATGCTCTACGTATGTACAATTTCTAAAACGAGGTAAATTACTGACAAACAAGTTGATGAAACAAGAATATTAACAGTCTCGTTTAAAGTCATCATTTCGTAAGTTCTATGGTCGATACAATGACCTTGTCAGCAAATACAGTTCATCATTGAGTCAAATGCTGACATACTAATCGTTAGGTCATTATTTACACACAGAATTGTCGACGGATTTTTCCGTTATTTCCCGATCATGACAAGGAGCACAAAGCGGGTGTGACCGATCGGCAGGGGATGCTCACTCCTCCATGGTACCTGATCCCACCTCTGATGTTTTGGAGGTCCCTGTTTGCTCTGCTCCTATTTTGTATTGTTTAATGGACTTTTGAGCTTGAATACTGTTCGTTATCTCCATATATTTCATCGTTAACATAATATTTTTTAAACATTTGGTTGTAATTTCACCCATTTATGATACAATCAAATTATATGCATAGCAAGAAGATGCAAACCTATATTTTGTACATCTTCCCCAAAAATTCCAAAAGCCACATCTTTCCTTGTAAGTTGTCTTCGTTTTGTAAGAATATTTCTGAACATGGGGACTGCAAAAGGACGAAAGATTGATAAAACTTTTCTTGGTTTATATACTTCGTTATTACAACAAAGAATTAAAGATTTATAAATTTCTTAAATATTAATTTTTGATGAAACTTTGCTCGTATACATTATTACATTATGTTCTCGATATTTTAAGGACTAGTCTTTATTTTACCTCAATGAAAGAAACATTTTACTTACCGATTTTCTATAAGGCTATCCTCCGAGTACCATGGAAACGATGTCTGTGTAAAAGACCACCGTATAAGGCAACCAAACACAAGAGCAAGTATTATGTTGGACATACTCTCTACACTTTTCAACGGCAATGAAAAAAAACGCACTATGTTAAACAATGAAATTAGACAAAGTCGAATTATTTCATGCATTCACGCAACTTATAAATTGAATAAGAATATGAAATAAAGGTTTTTAAACAGCTGTTGTTGAAGGGGGTGGTGGATGTTTTTTCTAATAAACATAGTTTATACTATATATATATATATATATATATATATATATATATATATATATATATATATATATATATATATATATATATAATGCAAAATGCTGTGTCTCTTACCTTACTCCAGCGCCAAATGACAAAGGGCTGAAGGAATACAGTGGGTGTAAACGTTGTTATGAAAGATATAAAGGATCCTATGACGGCATTTAAACCTGTGATAATGTATTTAAAAAGACGGGCAGTGAATTCCAAACCAAAAGCGCTATCAGAGCACTCAATACATGTGGTGCCCTAGAGATGGGCACCTCTAAAGCCTTGTATTTGAATTTTTTTCTGGCTCTTATGATAGCTTGGGAGGTCCAGTCAAGATTTATCAACTTCAAATCTGGTTATGAATACGTTTACAGTTTTGAGGGTCACTCTACTGTTGAAGATCTCGGAAAGTTCATCGTCAAAGCAAAGGTGAGGTGTTACTGCAGATGTCTTTTCAAATTAAAAAATGTTAATTAAATCAAATCATTTAGCGTTGAATATGCTTTGTATTCGGCCATAGTTGGAAAGAGATTTTCCAGCGGTTTGCAATACTATTAGTTAATTGCATGTTTTCAAAAAATTAATGATAAAACATAAGGGGAGACAAAGTAAAAATCCTTGGACAGTTCAATAAAGTCGGAAGGAGGCTGGGGTAATATCGCTTGTAAAAGAAAGCCAGGTTTCCCCAGACGAGGTCTTTTACGAGGAAAAATTGAAATAATTATCTCCCCAAACCCCTCTGAGGCTCCTCAAACAATATTTAATGATTCTTTTCCTCTCTACTTGTTAATGAACAAATTATATCTTATAAATAGGATATTGAAGAAGTATAATGAGTCTTGTTATAATGCTTGTTCTATTTCCGTTTTACTTTTGGCCTGTAATATTGAAATATTACTTCTCACCACCCGAAATCTCGGATCAACTCCTAAAGTAGTAATGGTGTTTAGGCAAAATCTTTTTATAGACTACCGTTTATCAAATTTATCAACCTTCCTCCTATGGAAAAGAAATACCTGTTCAAATCATGGGCACTCGATTTTAAACGGTAAATTAATCTTCTTAACGGCACATTCTTTATGTATATAGTGAAGTCGATATATTTTTTATTAATTAAAATGGAGAGTGCGTATGTTTCAATTTATATTTTTCAAGAGAATCGTTAAATAATTCCTTACCGTACAAGAAACAAACTATTATATCGTTTAATGCAATACTTATACCTTGAAGGTATATACATCGTTTTCTACTAATTACAGACGATTTGATTGATTGATTGATTGTTATTGTTTAACGCCGAGTCGGCAATATTTCAGCGGATAATTAAATTTATGTAATCGGTTTTTAAAAGGTTTTGGTGTCTCTGGTAGCCCCTGTGAGCCTACTCTTTTTCAAAATCTGGAGAAACGATCTTTACGTGCCAACGGGGTTGTAATCCTTGACGGGGCAGCATTTAATGTCCCATCCGACAGACATAAAATTTAATAATATGTAAACTGTTACAGACAATTTGAATCAGACAATTTACATCTTCATATCATGGTACGGATTACGGAAGTTCAGAGCGACCTGGCCATTGCATTGCTAATGTAAGGTCAAAGGAAATAACAGATTACTTTGTAGTTCTTCGTGAATTTTTCCGTGTTCGTCGTATGAAAAAAACTGGAAGGGTTGCCGAACGACCGCGACAGGGTCGTCAGCGCATAATAAAGTCATGTCAAGACAACGCTGTTCGTGATCGCCACTTTACTGCCTCTGAATCGCTATGAAATAGCTTGCTATCATAATTGCCGCATTCATCCAAAGACTGGAAAGAGCCGATTGCGCGATTTTCGTCCGTGATCTAGTCAACCGTATATACATTTTGTGTTCCTAGCACGCGTGCACATATGCGTCGTATGGCTAATTTTCCAGCTTTATAACTCCCGATCCCGTTTAGACAAAAACATGCTATGAGTACTATAAATTTTATGATTAGGCAAGATACGGACGTAAAAGTTGATTTAACAGGGCTCGCTTTTCAACAGTCTAAATCAAAGTCATTGTTAAAAAATTCTGATTGTACTCACCAGTACCTCCAGGTTAATATTAAAAAGATGCTTGAGCTTCTGATTGTCAATATCTAATGTAGTTTGTTTTTTTTTGGAAATCAAGTCATCCAACAATCTGACGGAATTCTCATGGGTACCAACTGCGTCCCGTTATTAGCAGACCTATTTTTGTATTCAGATGAAGCAGAATTTATTTAAAAACTTCTACCTAATAGAATTATTTAAAAACTTCTAACCGAGTTTTACTGTACTTACGGTTATTGCGAAGTTCTGGGGACCTAAGAATTTACTTCGCTATATCCGTAATTCGTTATATCCGCGTAACAAATTCATTAAAGAATACATAGCGACTTCGCAATATAGATTTTTTTCCTTGAAGTATGACTACCAAATGTATTAAGGGAAGTATGAAATAAAACATACCGTGGAGTTCAACTTTCGGATGAATAGTGTTCTGAATATATATACTTACAAAGTAAATGTCAGTTCAATATTTTAAAAACTAAATTCTTTAAAAATTCGCTATAAAATATGTAAATTATTTTTTACTTTAAACTTCTCTATGCCCTCTTATCCCACCAGTGATGTTTTAATAGGTCCGTGTTTGCTTTGCTCCAAATTTGTACTGTTTCAATGCTCTTTTGAGCTTGATTACTGATCGTTTTCCTCATATTCCATTTCGAAAACCCCTGGGTCATTATAATGACCTTGTTAGCAAATACATTTAGTAATTTCAGAATCTTATCTTTAACATTATTTTTACAAATACGAAATTGAAGGCAATAAAAGGTGCAGATGAAGTCTAGACCAAAATGTATGATCGTTCTGACGAATTAAATATTTGTTCTGACCAAAAAAAAAGTTTTGACTAATCTGTTCTTCGTTCGAACAAACGAGACCTCTATGTGGACGAATATGTTCTTCCTTTAGACGAATTAAATGCAGGGACACTCGAACATAGGAAGAAATTAAAATTTGTTTGTGGGGGTGGGGTGGATTGGATATTTGCTTGAACAATTTACTGAATTACATATTTGTTTGCATAAAATTGTCAGCTCACCTGAGCCGAAGGCACAATTGAGTTTTGAGCATCCCCTGCCGACCGGTCACACCCGCCGTGTGTTCCTTGTCATGATCGGGAAATAACGGAAAAATCCGTCGACAATTCAGTGTGTAAATAATGGCATAACAATTTGTATGAAAAACGTCAGTCAGCATTTGACACAATGATAAATTGTATTTGCTGACAAGGTCATTGAATCATATAAATACAGAAGTATCCTCAGGTAGTGTAGATTCAAATTTGTTCAAATCATGACCCCGGGGTAGGACGAGGCCAAAACTGTGGGTAAAAGTTTTACAAAGGAATATATAGGTGTAATGGTTAAGGGGCATTTGAGTAAAACGCATTGAAGACTTCAAATAGTGGAATGAGCTGACAACCCTTGGAATGGACAAGCGAAAACAAAGGGTATCTAAGGCAAAGCTTTTGGAATGTCGGGCATTTAGAAGCTAGCTGAGGAAGTTTGATTTTGGATCAGCAATAAAGAAGTTAAGGAATTCCATTCCTAATAGCAAGAGATTCTATGATTGATTGATTGATTAAGGTTTTATGCTGAATCGGCACTATTTTAGCCATATATCGGTGATCAGATTCAATGAAATTGAATACATAACTGATATATAGGGGTTGAATACTCAGCATATTTAAAAATATTCCCATTTATTACTGTTAGCATGTAAGGATGGGATGTGTCCTAATTCATGACCTTGAATTTTGGTAAGAGTTATCATATTTATACAGAAGCAACCTTAGGATTTGTAGGTACTAGGTATTGTAGAATCAAGTTTGTTCAAATTATGACCACCAGGGATTGGGGACATGACAAATGACTCTCTCTCTCTCTCTCTCTAATTTATATGAGATATATAAAAATGTTCTTCAATACAATATAATTTATCAAATCAATATGGAAGCATTTCCACATAGTGTAGATTGAAGTCCATTGAGTTGTCAATATATCATAACAGACAGATCATTTTGGTCGAAGGATTTAATGAGTCCAACAGATCATCGGTGTATCCTCAATTTACCTCAGAAAAGCATTTTGACTCTCGCCTGTTGTTTTATAATTTATAGGGATGTCAAATCGGTCAGTTTTTGATAATCGGTTACTCGAACGTTTTTCCGATCGAGTACACGGGTACTCGGTAAAACATGAAAATTTAAGTGTGTTATTTTTTTTTAGCCCGCTTAAGCTGTGTTAAACCCCAAAGCTGCTTTTATCACGTTTATGAATGTATATAAACATCGATTCCAACAGAAATTATTTTTGGTACTAAATTTCTCAAAAACCATTTGGACAATTTCAGCCAAACTTCCCAAAAAGTATCCTTGGGTAAAAGGGATTCAAGTTTCTTCAAATGAAGGATCACACTTTCTTACAAGGGGAGATAATTATGAATAAGTGAAAAAATAATGGCATCTTGACCCCTGGGGTAGGGTTTGGGCCACAATCGGCAATCAAAGCTGGAAGACATAGGAAAAATTCCAAAATCTTAACGCCCCCCAAATTTAACTAATTCGAGATCAATAATATACCGCCTGTCAATCATTAAAAAACAATAGCTACTGATTTGATAGACAGACCAGCTACCTGTGCTACCTGATAATCTGAGTTTGCATGTTTTGGAAACAATTACCTGTTCACGAGTAAAACGCTTCCATGTACCGCATGAATAGTTGCTTTGCGTGTATACACTCTGGTAAAAAAAATTCAAATCGCTATAATATTGTTTTGTAATTATATTTCAAAAAATAATGAGAGTAGATAATGAAACATTGACTTTATGATTAATTTTTTTCAATCCTCATTGTTGTTTGGTACTTGTAATCGATATGATGTCCAAGACAACTCAACTGTAGAAGTTTCCGAAGAAAACCTATAGTGGATATTCGAGGTTTTGTTTTAATTGAAATTTGGACTGTCGATATATTTTTAGCAAAAATTGTTATTAAAGCAAACAGATTATAAAATACAGATCAATCTACACCATTCGGTGGAAGAAATGTCACAATCATTCTTCCAATTTCCTCTAACGTATATATTCGTATATTGAAAAGGGTGAAGACAACGGACAGTGATCGATCTTTTTAAAAAATAATCTACAAACAATACAAATCTGTGAACAGGGCATAAAAACACGTACCCCGGAAATTTCAGTGATGAATACTTTGGACACGATTGTTGGCCAGAAAAATAAATAATATTCTGGCTATGGTACATGTCCACACGATAACTGAAAGCTCTTTATTTCAATATTTACACTTATTGAATGATGATTCCTTTACTGACGATTAAAAAATATTGATATGTT